ATAGTACAAGGCACTGCTTATTTTTTCAAAATCTGTTTTTAAGTTATAGCAAGAATAATTATGTACATAATATTATGAACTATTTTAATCTTTCCATTTGCATTCTAAAATCTATTTTAAACTGCACCCTTTCTCTTCAACTCTAAAGCTTTGTAACCCATAAAAACAAAATTCAAAAGCTTAAAACAGAATGTGTTGCATGTAACCACAATCAGTTTTCTTTTAAAAACATTTTAGAAAACCATAATGAAAAGACTTACCAGGCTACATTAACTTTTGCCGAGCTATTAGTTGGCTTAATTTGGGACAACCACTACATCAAGCCCAGCACACCTCTAGGACACATGGGTGACTTCAGTGTGGTTCAGAAGGGCAAGATGAATGAACTTGCTTAAGCAAATAAAAAATAGAATGTTCACTGTAGCACTGGTTTGGCTTTCAAGACATTCAGCATTAGACATTCCCACTAAACTGCCTATCAAATTTAATTCCTATCTGATGAATAACAATAAGATGATTCAATTCAAATCATTCCTCTTAGTTCTGAAATTTTTTTCTTCTGTTGCCTTTGTGTCATGCCCAACAGTGCTCAGGGCTTACTCCTGGCTCTGTGTTTGGGACCATTACTCCAGGTGGTCCCGAACAGAACACAGCTGGGAGCAGAACCCAAGTTGGCCACAAGCAAAGCCAAAAGCTTTACCTGCTGAACTATCTCTCCTGCTCCTGAATTTTTTTTGTTTTTAAAATAACACTTATTAAGGGCTGGAGCGATAGCACAGCGGGTAGGGCGTTTGCCTTGCATGCAGCCAACATGGCCGACCCGAGTTCGATTCCTCCGCCCCTCTCGGAGAGCCCGGCAAGCTACCGAGAGTATTCGATATGCCAGACACAGTAACAACAAAGTCTCCAATGGAGATGTTACTGGGCCCGCTCGAGCAAATCGATGATCAACGGGAGGGCCTTTACTTTACTTTACTTATGAGTATGCTATAAATATTACACAGATATAAAAGGCCATATTTTAAATTATAAGAATATCCAAACTCAGTTCTGTAGTGGATAGGTGTTTGGATAAAAATTCTTGATCCTTTTTTTTTTCTTTTTTATTAGTGAAACACCATGAGGTACAGTTGTAGATTTACAAATTTTTGTGCTTGGATCTCGGTCATACCACGATCAAATACCCATCCCTCCACCAGTGCCCATTTTCCACCACCAGGATAATATCCCTCCCCCCCCATCCTCCCATCCCCCCATCCCCCCCTGCCACTGTGGCAGGGCATTCCCCCCTGTTCTCTCTCTCCTCCTGGGCGCTGTGATCAGCCAAAGAGGCATTGAGTGGCGAACATGTTCAGTCCAGTCTACTTTCAACCTGCATCTCCCCTCCTGGGAGGATCCTCCAAACACCCTCCACTTGGTGTTCCCCTTTCTATCTGAATTGTCCTTTCCCCTAGAATACCCAGCTGGCCTCTAAGTTATGGAGTAATTCTCCTGGTGTTGCTCTCAGAAAAGGATCAAACATGATAACCTCTCAGGGTCTGTATTGCAAACCATAATGCCCAAAATTAGAGAGAGATTATGGGGAATCATGTCTTCCATGGAGGCAGGGGGAGGGTGGGAAAGGAGGGATATACTGGGGCTATTGGGGGTCGGGAATGTGCACTGGTGGAGGGGTGGGTATTTGATCATTGTGTGATTGTAACCCAAACATGAAAGCCTGTAACTATCTCACGGTGATTCAATAAAATTTAAAAAATTAAAAAAAAATTCTTGATCCTTGTGAAACAGAACTCATGATATATATAGCTTCCAAGATATATAGCTGAATTTTTCTCCTCTAAAAATTTCAATTCACTTCATCTTATTTGTGATATCAGTGTCCACTAATCTGTTTTCTAAACACACGTCATACCAGATGCACTGGTAGGACAGGTCTGTTTACCAGCTAGTCCAGGAATGTTCTGCAAATTCATATGCCATCATCCCATGGTTGAATGCACTGGCTTCCCTCTTCCTTTTAGAGACAGACTAAAGTGAAATAAAGGTTTCTAGCAAGTTAGCTGAAAATGTTTTCATGGAAATGATGACAGGGTCACTAAGCACATTTAGAAACAGTGAATAAAAAACATTCTGAACCTTTACTGTACAGTTTTTTAAAGAGATACCTTGGACGTTCTAAAAGGCAGAACCCACAATCCTTTAATTTCCCTGAGGAACAATGCCAGAATTGTCTCTACAGTCTATCACTTGAGTCTCCGCACATTTTCAGTTGTCTGAACAATATCACAGAAATTTCCATTTCTGCTCTGTTGTGATTTCTGAATATTCCTTCCTATGTCATACTTTGACCCTTTGACCCTCAGCTTGAGGGACTTTTAAAATCTTTAAATTTCTAGTATTCAGTGCTATGGACTCATGGATGTTTCCATTTCTGAGTTTTAATTCTGCTGAGATTTCAGGAAAATAAACTCTGTCATCTGGGGAGTGTATATAAATAACATTTTAGTTCTGCCCCAAAAAGCATGTAAAAGTAACTAAAGTTCAAAACCAAATCTTCATCCTGCTTTCCCCCAAGCAAATCTATTTATAAGTAATAAAAAGCAGGCTATTAAAAATTAAGATTCTGAAAGATCAATCTGAGATAGTTAAGAGAGGAAGATGAACAGAATAATTACTTAGGAGAAACATATCTTAATTTTCTCATGAAACTGTAAAAAGAAGCCAAATCAAAATTAAACTGTTAGCCCATTAACTTCTGATGATTTTATGGACCTCCTAAGATTGGCTATGATGTGTTGGAGAAAACTCTCTGTTTAAAAAAGTTTTTTTAAAAAAGGTCACCTATTTGTTTTGGGTCTATTGTATATACACAGATGATACACAGATGAGGTCGAGGGGGAACAAACTATCCATGAGACTAGATATTCATCAGGGGCATTTCATGCAGAGGCCAAGCAGCAAGAGCAGCACATATGCTTGGAACTTAGTTCCCTCTGGAGACCCCTGTCTGCTCCCATAGTCTCACTGTTCCCTGCACGCTGCATCACCTGGGGCTGTAAAAATACTGTTGCTAAGGACTAGGGATGCAACACAAGTGGTAAAACACATTCCGTGCACATGTGAGGTCCTAGGTTCAACCCTCCAATATCAATAAAATACATTTAAAGTGAATATTTTAAAATAATAAAAATTAATATAACACTGTGACTGCCAGGGCCCCATACCTGGAGACTCTGCTCTACAGGTCTGGGTTATAGACTGGACTTCTAAGCTTTCAAAAGTCCACTGTAAGGCTACGTTTGAGAAGTACTGAGTAATTCCTTTGAACAAAGAAAAAACATTTAGAGAGACAATTTTTTTTTTTTTTTGCTTTTTGGGTCACACCAGGCGATGCACAGAGGTTACTCTGGGCTCTGCACTCAGGAATTACTCTTGGCAGTGCTCAGGAGACCATATGGGATGCTGGAAATCAAACCCGGGTCAGCTGTGTGCAAGGCAAATGCCCTACCCACTGTGCTTTTGCTCCAGCCCCAATGCAGGCATTTTTATACAGTCCAGTAACAATGTTGAGGGAAGGGGCTGGAGTGATAGTACTCCTACTACTGACCAGACTTGGAGTGATGACAGTGGTGCAGAAACCGGAAGTGTAAGAGACTGAGCGATTTTTCTAGTTTTTGGATAAGAACTCTGTGCATTCAGGAAATGGAAAATGCCCTTCAGCACAGTGTTTCTCAATCAAGGGGCAATAAGATTGTTGGGACCCCAAGATACTCCAAAGTAGTCACAGATGAAAATGGCATACATTCGGGGCGATGACACGAGACGAGGCAGCCAACCAGAGGAAAACAAAGTCAAAGGGGCTATGATGGAAAAAAAACTGAGTAACAGTGCACGCTTTAGCAGATCTTTTATTATTAGCAATACTGAAAGGGTTAAGCTCTGGTCTACCACTTAGTGGTCATAAAACCTTGGGGAATTACTGGACTTTCAATCTCACTTGCTCTTCTGTAAAACAGGAATAATAGTAACTAGCTAACACAGGGGGTTATTGTGAAGATGGAGTAATTACATACGAAGCATTTACCACAATGTTTGCCTAGTTAGCCCTTAATTATTATTTAACAATAGCTATTTAATATGGAATACAATCAAGCAGGAGGAGGGACTATCACAAAACTGAGTAAGAAAATACTCTTTATGGTAAAAAAGTTTGCTGCAAGGAATGTCTGATTGTATTTCCATGATTCTGTGAATTTGGTCATTTAGACCACATAAATTCTTTGGGTAGTTATTCTGGGCAGGACTTCATTATTTAAAGAATTTCATAAATCTTTATTTGTGGGGTAGAATTTAGGAAGAAGGAAACCGATCTATGCATTATCTTCCTGAACCAACTAAAATATCATTCATAAAAGTAAGAAGAATGTTTGAAAAGGTCCTCATAGCAGCTTCTAAATGTCAAAGCTAGACTGAAGGTAAACAAGAAACTCTCAAATAAGTACAGGATATTTGAATACTGCAATGAGCATAGGATCTTTAAAATATCATTATGAGTGTCAGCAGAAATTAGTTCACCCTCTACTGTAGAACCATGCGCCACGATGATTTCCATGCATGCTCAAATAATTCTCCCCAAGTCACATGGAGATGAAAACATCGGCCTGGCCAGGCCATGGCCCCCATTTGGCTCTTCTATTCTTGGCTTTTGTCCAAGGCACCATCCTGCCTCAGTTTCCAAGCAATCTACCACTGAATGAAGGGCTACAGGAATAATATCCATACATACACCTTGTTGGAAATTTCATGGTAAGAGTTTTGAATTTTTAATTTAAAAAGTCAAGTACTGCTATAAGAAATTATTTTAAAATAGTGCTGACTCTAAAATGCTCACTCTCCCACTAATGACGCACACTTGCATCATTACATTTGAACATAGGTTATAGTTTCAAAATTCTGTTCCAAATTAACAAAGGTAATACGAAATACAGAAAAAAACTTACCTCAAAAATCTCAAAGCCATAAATGTCCAAAACACCCATGACCTTCTTTCTCACTTTTGTTTGTGCCTTTAAAAAAAAGTTCCAAATAAATGAGCCAATTTAGGCATGCAACATAATACTAAAAATTATAGAGCACAAATGTATTTAGGTTGACTGTATTCATAACCAAGAGAATGACTATGATTTGGATGTTTCTTAACATGTGAGATGGGATTATTTTAGTAATAGTGAAATTTCTATCTATTACTAAAATAATTATGAAAAAGATCACTGAATCTTACTATAGCAAGGGCCATTCAATACCATCTAGTCCAGTACCCTCATTTTATTGAAGAGTATACTGGAAGTAGAGAAGTCATGTGACCTATTCAGTCAAAGGTCTACAACTCGTGGGTGAGGCACAACCAAGATCTGGGATGCTGATTCTCAGAGGAACTTTGCAAAGACTATGCACAGGTGAGATTTCACAAAACAAACATGGTCAAACAAAACAGATCTAACAGACTTCAGTCCTCCACAAGGCAAATTCTTCTTCAGTCACTCTCTGCAGATGGGGTTATGTCTTTTCTGAATATAAAACTGAGCTCACTCAGAGTTTGCTCTCTAAATGCCATTGATTAAAACTGATTAGGTTACAGAGATTCAGTACCTTGATGCTTTCATTGATTCGATTCACCAACCATGAAAACAAGCGGCTATAGAGGTTTTTAGCCAGAGCATCACGGGCATAGTAAGCCTAATAAAAACAAAACAGAAATTCAACATACATAATTATTATCACACACTTTTAAATGCCATTTTAAAATATATTTAGGATTATTTTATTTCAAATTTCTCTGCAGAGTTAGTTTTTATTATACTCTCGATGAACAATCAAGCTGTTAAAAGAATTAAGCAAGTTCTTTCAACCCAGTTATACCTTTTAGCTTCCCAGGAAGCTAATTTTAAAATTCACCACATAGATGTCTCATGAGATAAATGATGCTCTCATATATGTATATAAGACATACGACCATATTCTTTAACAGAGAAAAATTGGAAGCAATGACAGCTCAACCTGAGGGGAAGAGTTTAAGTAAAATAAGAAAACACCCACTAAAAGAGAAGCAACATGGTCATTAGACAATAACCATAAATAAAATTAGATGATAAAAAGTTTCATTATGTGAAAATTTAAAAATGTCTTTAATAGTGTCTTTAAAACTGTCTCTAATACGACTAGTTTTGAACTCCTACACACAGAAAAGGAAATGTATAAGAAGTACATGAAAATAACTTAATCCTTCAATTTGTAATCATCAACAATGAACACTGGAGTATCACACAATGCTGGGTGATACAGTGTGACGAACATAAAACCCTTTCAATCACTAACTTATTTGAAAGTCACTGAGAGCTACTTGAAAGGGAAGTGGCTGAAGCCACAAAAATCTCTAGAAGGCTGGAGGATGCAAAGAGTTCAGTGGCAAAGGTGCGGCTCAAAGAAACAGACAAAAACCAAAAAGGCAGGAAGAATCCACAGGCTGGAGCAAGTTCACATGGAAGAGAACCTCAGGACCCTTCACCATCTGTACAAGTGCCAGGCCTGTAGCGCCAATATGAAACAAGGAGACGGATACTAGAGGTCCCAGAAGACCGGGACAGGGTGCTGGCAGCTGTTGAGAGGAAAGCTAGAGGCGGATCTACTATGAATACTCTGCCTGCACCTGTGGCTTCTAAGCAGAAGGTTGAATATCATTGTTAAGCTATTACATTTTATTTTATAAGAACACAATGGATGAGCTTATATGGGAATTCGCTTTTATTTCTTCCAAAATGATGAGGCCAGACGACTTGAACAACAGGGTTGCATCCCAGGCAACCTGCTATAGCTGCAAACAACTCGCTCTGCTCCTCCTTCACCTGGTACTGCCCCACTAATCCCAGACCTCGCTGCCCTCAGAGAGCTGTTTCAAGCACTGATGGACATCACCTTACAAGCTGGCAAAAGAACAACAACAAGAGGACAACTGTGCAATAGAAGTGTGCAGGGTGGGGAATGACTCCATAGCAGAAAGAACACAAAAATGCTGAGACAGAATGTATATGTCTGTTTTTTCTCTTTCTTGTAATAAATACGGCATTCCAATGCTCAGAACAGTGCCTGACACAGAAGCTTTGAGATATTTAAACTAATAACGTTTTCCTCTTCTACTAGTTTGACCTCATGAGCCTATATAATTTCTAAATTCTTCCCCTTACAAAATGACTCAAAATCACAATACATAATTTAAAACAGCATCCAGGTTTTCAAATTTTTTAACATATGTTATCTGCTTCTAACAAACTACCATTTCAATATGCCACACAAATTGATAGGGGCAGTTTACCCTGGTATACTACTAAGTAATTTTTAAATTGCATTCACAGCCAATACTAAACTTCATTGCTTTCTTTAAACAAATATTTATGCTAGGAGTCTGCAACTCAAATGCTTCCAGGAACTCCTGGGTAGAAAGGAACGGGAAGCTGTGGCATCCTCTGTGGGAGCTGGAGGATGCATTCTAGGTTAAAGGTGCTCAGATTCCAAATTTATAAAGCCAACAACAAAACACAAAAGACTAGTTTAGTCCTGTTTTAAAAACTGCATACTGTGCTAGATCTAGCCCCAGGGGTTGTCCATTTACCACATCTGACTTCCTGACTGTGACATAGATCTCCACAATATCTTCAAAAGTAAGCGCAGAAATGCTGATTCCCTTAAGGACCAGGTGTGTGGAAATGAGAGCAGAGAGCGCACAATCACTGTCGTAGCTAGTAAGCACTGTAAGAAAAGATGGTGCTCCCTGGAATAGAGAAAGGATCACTTAGGGATCACCAAGATAATGATGGCTGGAGGGACTGGTCCGGATGGGAGACGTGTGCTGAAAGTAGATAAATGACCAAATATGATAACCTCTCGGTATCTGTACTGGAAACCATAATGCCCAAAAGTAGAGAGAGAGTATGGGGGAAATTGTCTGCCATGAAGGCAGGGGGAGGGTGGGAAAGGAGAGGTATACTGGGGAGATTGGTGGTGGAGAATGTGCACTGGTGGAGGGATGAGTGTTTGATCACTGTATGAATGTAACTCAAACATGAAAGCTTGTAACTGTATCTAGCTGTGATTCAATAAAATAAAAAAAGGAAAAAAAGAAAAGATGGTGCTCTTAATGCTGCATAAGCTTCACTGAGGACAGCTGGTATCTGCTTCAGAAATGGCCCAGGATAGTGAGTGTCAAGCAAGGCAGAGTCACGGGAAAGCATGGGCATAAGGTTCACCCTCTGGACACTTCTGGCAGGGCAGAGAGGATAAAACCCAAGACATGTGAGACAAGCAGAGGGCAGCGCCAAACTACAGGAGAGAAAGAAGTTTAGGGAAGAACCACAGAGGGGCTATGCAATCAAGGATGGCTCCCTGTAAAAGGTGCAATTAGGTATGTGATTTAGACACGCAAAAGGAAATGATCCATAGCCCTCAAGGGTGTGGGTGGAGGGTCAGGGAGAAAAACTGGAGCAAAAGCACCACGTGAAAATAATTTCGGGTTTTAGAGAACTAGCAGAACAAATTAAGAACAGTCAGATTAAAGAGTCAGATTAAAGACAGAGATCACAGAAGTCAAGGACAGAGTATGTGGTAGAAAACTGAACGCCAACTTCGTCCTGGGTTTCCACAATTTTAATATTAACCTATGGATGTTGCAATAAAACCACATGCAAGTGTGAGTCATCAGTGGCATGAGCCTTCAGTCAGGGTGTCAATCATTTATCATCATCATCATCAAGGATCAAGAATGCCTTGAGGAAAATGAAATACGATACCAATTAAGATGATGAGATGCAGGAATTGAAGTTAGGAGGCGAAGTTAAGAAAACAAAACACTTCTCACTGGAATTGAAACCCTTGAAGGAGTAAAGATCAGTAGGAACAGATACTCCAAATCCACATTAACAAACAGGGACTGGAGTGGGCAGGGTACTTGCCTGGCATGTGGCCTATCTGGGTTTGATTCCCAGCACCTGATATGCCCCTGAACCCCACCAGGAGTAATCTCTGAGTGTGGAGCCAGGAGGAAGCCCTGAGCACCTTGGAGTGTGGCCCCCAAATAAACAAATGAAAAGTCCGACTAGAATAAGGACCTGAATCACTGAGGATGTAAAGTCACAGTCAAGGATGCCATAGGTGAAAGGAATATGGAAAATTCTACCCACTAAAGTAAGGGCCTCCTCAGCCTCATACAGAGGCAGCTGGACCGGTCACAAAGTGAGAGCAGGGGCCAGGGAGAGGGAACAGAGGGCAAGAGCATAAGCCCTGCGTGTTCGAAGTTCCGAGTCCAATCCTTGGCCCCACAAGCACTCGGAGGTGTGGGTCAACCCTCCCCTCCCCCCGCCAGTACTGGGTCTGAGCAGCAATATACAGGCAAGCCCTATGTCAACAGGAAGGGGCTACTTTGCCCTGAAGGCCCCTAAACAATGCTGGGGAGCCTTTCCAATGATGCCCCCCAAAAAACACGAAGTAGAAAAGCAACTATCAGAAATACAAATTCTGTACCCTAGACCTACTCAATCACAGCACCTGGGGATCCGTCCTGCAAATCATGGTTAAGGAATTCCCCAGGCGAGTCTAATGCATGCTCACAGGTTGCACATGCTCCACATAGACTGCAATTTTCACCTTTGCAGACAAAATGCCCTGAACCCTCTTCTCTATCTAAAGCTGTATGGGATCTGGGGATGACTTGGTGGCTTAAAGTGCCTCCCTTGCAAGGAGAAGTCAAGGACTTTGCTTCTTCGTGTCAATGCAAGCATGGGCCCTGATCCCAAGGGCGCTGTTTGGAACACCCAGCGTAACTATGTATAGACTTTGGCCCACCAAGGGCACTGAAGCTAGGAGTATCACCACCAGAAAGCACGTGGGTGATCACCACACTGACACAGAAGTGTACACCCTCTGCCATACACGTGTGCAAGCATCACCATTAGATGCACAACCCCCTAAGAGTTAAACGTGTGTGACCCTCATCAAGGAAACAACAAGAAAGGGAAAAGAAGCAAAGCGGGGTGGGTAGATATATAGCTAAAGCTATAGCCATGCCCGATCAACCCCTTTCTCCTTTCTGATGTGTACGCCAAACCTGATTTTGTTTCCTTTCTGGAATGTTTCCTTTATCCGCTCTTTATACAGCCAGACCTTCAAGATTGGCTCAGAAATAATTTCCATGAAGTTGCAAAACAAAGGGTTTAGAAAAAGAATCCAAAACTGCCTATTACAAATACACATTCAAGCAAGCATAAATGACTTTAACCATCCACATAACAGAACCAAAGGAAGGAAGAAAGCAATTCAGATGTGTCTTGGCAGTATTTCCTTGTTGTGATACAGAGGATGGAGGGGCACCAATAAGGAAGGCAGGGAGGCCAGTCTGCCCATCTGACCACAAACTGTTCTCACTGCCTTGTCCAAATCATTCCCTGGCAATGACATTATTCCAGGTGCTTTGCTTGGAACCTAAAGACTGAATGTCATCTTTTTTTTTTCTTTTCGGGTTACAGAGGTGATTCCTGGCTCTTCCTTCACTCAGGAATTACTCCTGGCAGTGCTCCGGGGACCATATGGGATGCTGGGAATCGAACCTGGGTCCACTGCGTGCAAGTCAAATGCCCTACCTGGGCAAATGTACTATTGCTCCAGCCCCTGGATGTCATATTTTAATTCCTTTCCTTCACCACACATGAAGCCATCATCAAATCCTTCTGCACCAACCCTCAAAACATATGGACACGGATCCACCTGACTCAAGCCATCTTGGCCGTCCCCAGCACCCTGTGATATGAACTTCAGGGCCGTATTCCTCTCACTCACCCAGCTCCCTGTGTTCAAACTGTAATCTCAAGAGGATGCTATTTGGAGGAGGGGTCTTTAGGGCATGGTTATGGGAACCCCAGAAACCTATCCTCTCCCTTCTCCTCCAAGAATCTACTCAGACTGAACCTGATCTCTGATTTCCAGTCTCTAGACCTAGGAGAAAAATGTTGCTAGTGAAGCCACCAGTCAATGGTGTTCTATTCTACAGCAGCCCACGTGGACTAAGTTTGCTTTCCACTTCTCCTTTGCCTATACTCTGCTCTCCACATTGAAGCCTGGTAAACCACTGAAACACAAAACAGCAGATCGTGCCCCTGCGCACCCATGTTCCACCTCACTTAGAACCATCTCCCACACCCCAAGCCCCATGGCGTTCCCTTTTTAGGTTCCGCAATTTCTCTTTGCTGCCAAACCATTTGCTCAGCTTGCTCGACACATTTATTTCTTAGAACTATGGGCTATTGTCTAGTCTTCCTGCCAAAAGGTTAAGTTCTGTGAGCACAGAGAGCTTTACTGTTTAGTTCACTGCTCTGTCTGCCGAAAACGATGACAGCCTGCAAAAGAAAATGTTCACTGCCTCTTACAAAAACAGCACTGTCTTTAAAAACTCACTTCTGAACATTGGCTCTCACCCACCTGAGCCACATTGAGTGTTGTTGACACCTTCTCCTGCTTGGCCTCAACTGTTCGGAAACTGAAGGCTCGTTCTAGGACTGACTGGTCAATGCCAGTCAACTCACAGATTTCTTTTAACTCTGTAGGGAGAGGAGAGACGCACAATGTGACATTTTCCAGGCTTTGGGCATGTGTACTCAATCACAGCCACACTGAGCTGTATGAAAGATGCACATATCAAAAGTTTCACTATAATGAGTCTGTTCAAAACCCAACAAAAAGCCAAGGTCTTCCCTCTGAGATTAAGAACTAGGCAGGTGTTCAAAGCCAGTCTGCTCTACAATGAAGGTTGCTTTTTTGCAGACTTACCGTTCTTGTCTTTGATTTTGCTTTCATCTAAGCCATTCACTCGAGATTCAGGCTTGAACTCGATGTTCCCCAGTTTCAACACCGTCGCCACCACTTCCAAGACAGACTCGGCTTCATGGTCCATAAAACCCACAATCTGCATGGCATTCTGAGATGGGGAAAGAGCAGGCTTTTTTTTATCCCCTGTACTCCCTTTGTATTTTTAAACAAATAATAGATTTATTTCTGAACATGCACACACTCACACACACAAAAAACAAAACTCTGGGAAGAGAAAACATCCCTGGATATACATTCCACAGGAGAATCCTACTGACATTAAGTGAGGGGCTGTATCTTGTTCACTGGTTTCCTGCTGAGATTCTAGTAGCAAAGAGTGGAAAGTATACGAGCTGGCATACAATGGAAAGAAAAAAAAAAGACCGTATTCTGAACCTTGGGTTCCCATTCTAAGTATCTCAGACTGTGTATAATTCCTAAGTTTTCTGCACTGGTGTTCAGTTGATAGAAGTGAAACTAAGCAAAAAGTTTTCATAATGCAACAAAATATTTTATATATTAAAAAACCCCTGTGCTTTGCAAATGTAATATCTGATCAAATGCAATATGGATAACAAATAACATTTATTAAGTTATAAACTTTCAGTGGGCACTAGTGATTTGCCAAGCAGATTTGGTTGTGCACTTAAGTCTTAAAAATCATATCCACCAATCAACAGGGCTCCTGTTAATATAGTTTACACTGTTAAAACAAAACAAAACAAAATATATGCTTTATTTTTTGGACAATGGCCCACTTTATTTCATTTCTCACTTATTTACATTTAATAGGCTACTCATCAATGGGAGTAGTATATATATTTTTCTTGTTACGAAAAATTTCAAAAGTATACGAGAGACAATAGCAGAAGAATCCTTTTCCACTCACCCTCAAAGAATAAAGAGTTAAAAACCTTAATTTTGCTTATAATCTACACTCTCTTCTCAACAACATAGCTGTTTCATTTGGAAGTAAATACGAACTACCATTTCATATCTTGACAGCAGCAATTTTCAAAATGCCACATATACTATTTCAAAATATAGCATATACCATTTTAAATACTATGTTTTCTAATGAAATGAAAATGCTAATCATTTTAGTTGACAGATCATGATTTTTTAAAAAGAAATAAAAGCATAATTTTCTGTTTTAAAAATAAGCATAAACAAAACCAGAACCTAGGTTGATTTTCATGTTGCAAACTTAATTACTGAACTATGGCTATGAAGATATTTGGGATTTAAACACAACATTAAATGTGTCCAAATTCAAGGCAATAAGAAAGAATTCATAGTAATGCTGCATGCTCCAGTAAAGCACTGGCTTCGCAATATTGGTATCTGAGCTAGTAAAAATCGGAGCCATGAAACTAGGGAGATGGCTTAAAGGACTAGAGCACAGCGTGTGCCTGTGGAAGCCCACAGTTTATTCCTTCTCCTGCACTGCACAGTCCCCCAAATGCTGCCGAGCAATACTGGGTACGGCCTCTGAACCAAAACAAATAAATGAAAGTCATAAAATACGTCAAATTCTTATAAAATTCTAAAACCTGTGGAAATGTGAGTTATACATGGCACTTAGCACTGCAATCAATTTTAGTAGAACAATATTGAGTTACCCAATTAAAAAGTAATAAAAGATTACATCTTACCCTAACAGTTCTGAAATTGGCTGCATCGTCCACTCCATTAACTTTAGCAGAGTCCAAACTCAGGTAGTTATATCTGCTGAAATCCCGCTCGAGCTTAAGTTTATCTGTTGAAACACACACACACACACACACACACACGATAATTTACTTCAATAAATGCATCACCTTTATATTAAGGGTTTTTTTTTTTTTTGCTTTTTGGGTCACACCTGGTGATGCGGCACAGGGGTTACTCCTGGCTCTGCACTCAGAAATTACTCCTGGCGGTGCTCAGGGGACCACATGGGATGCTGGGAATTAAACCTGGGTCTGTCACATGCAAGGAAAACTCCCTACCTACTGTGCTATCACTCCAGCCCCAATATTAATTCTTTTAATCCTGCAGAGAACATGACTATTTTATTATGTTTCAAGTATACAGAGAAAGTGATGCCTACACATTAAAAATAGTTCTTAATTTAAAACTGCTTCTTTTATATTTACATATATTGGGTCAGGTATATGTTGTCCATGAAAATATACACTCAGCCATGAAAATGTTTTGTGTTATAAAGGCATGGAAAGGACTTACATTGGACCCGGGCCTTTCCATGCCTTTATAACACAAAACATTTTCATGAGTTGCTTATACCATAATGTGCCTGTTTTATGAGTCCTCACAATTGGACACTGGGTGCTTTCCAGCTTATAATAATGAATACAAGGGGACTGGAGCAATAGAACAGTGGGTAGGGTGCTTGTTCTTATTATGGACTTATATAAATTCTCAAAAATACCCAAATGTCAGATTTTTATCAGTTACAGCAGTTGAAAACATCTTTTAGCTATTTTTAAATCTTCACTGAATAATTTGTTTTCATGCTGGTACTCAGCAACAGCTCCCTGTTAATCTTCCTCTCCTCAATTGGACTAATTGTATTCTTCCTTTTTAGTTTTTAACCTTAGCACTGACCCTCACCTCAATAAAAGCTCTTTTAGAAAACCATCTAAAAGTTGTATGGGTCAGTCTGTGGTAAGAGAGGAGCAAACACCCAATGTTCTTCACTTCAATCCCTGTCCCAGAAACCTTGGGAGAAAGGCCGGGAGGAATATATGAACACTTGAAAAGACAATACGTTGGGAAATGCTGTGAGAATAGAAACAGAAACGGGGACTCACTGAGCAGCTCCTCAGAGGCACCAGAGAGCAGCTGATAGAACACGTGGAAGTTTCTTTCACCTCTTGGTTGTTTAACAACTCGAGATTTCTCTAAAAGATCTGAGGAGAAAAAGAACCAGAGGAACCAAATCTTAGTAGTGTATTAATTATTTTCTTAGTACCAAAGTGCAAGAGCAGTGTCTTATAAGCCTATCATGCTTCTCTTTCATTTTCATTTACTGTTCTGTATGAATAAAATTACAAAAGACGCTACGATTTCAGGTGTCCTTTGAGGAAGAAGAACCACCAAAACTCAAATCACCAAATCAAACAAATCAGGTGTCAAACAGCAGAGAATATGAAAAAATGGTATACAATAAGTTTATTAAATACTGTTTTTATATTAACATTTTCATGGCTTACTGTGACACTAAGGGCTGAAGAGAGAGTACAAGGGTTAAGGTGATTTGCATGCAACAGCCCCAGTTTGTTCCCTGGCATCACATATGGTCTCCCCCTTTGGTACCACCAGAGACCCAGAAACAAGCCCTAGGGTCAGTTTTCAACATGTAACATTATAAATCTAAGGAAGAAAATATAACCCTAAATTATCAATCCACTCCATAATTATAATGACTATAAGATTAACATTTCAGAGATCTTACAATGTAATATGCCTTCTAAACATTATTGTATTAAATGTTCCCCACAATTTTATAAGGCATTATTTTGCAGACGAGAATTTACCCTACTTCATATCAATGCACGCTGTTACTTGTGAAAAAGTATAACAGATTTTTTCAAGTTTTAGAAAGTAACTTAGATTTCATTGGATGGAAGAGAATTTTGACAGCATACTTTATAACAGATTAGTTTTTATCCTGTAAATTTATGTCTTTTTATACTTACTGACTTCGAGGGGGTGACAGGAGAAGGGAGGGAAGAAAGGATATAAAAGAAGTTACCAGAAAGTTTAATAATAGACAATATTCCTACTGGATTTCTACTTATGATGGACAAATGATATAAAAATGTGTCTGTCGGGGGTGTGGGGGCGACTAAAACTTCATGGGAAGGGGGGCGTTCCGGTCCGTCCTTCACGCCCTACCGAGGTCACCAGTTGCCCCCCACGAGCGGCTCTCCAGCACAGCCACGGCCCCAGAAGCACAAGGACTTAATGCAGAACCCAGCAGCTTGGAGCAGAAAAGTGAACGGACTATGCATTGATCCAGGCCATCAAGTCTGCCGGAGGGGAAAGGGTGTTGCCCCATTCGCCCTCTCCTCTCTGGAAAGAAAGATGGCGGCCACATGGGAGCCTTGTGGACAGCAGGTATGAGCCGGGGGAGTGGGGGCGACTAAAACCTCATGGGTCGGGGGGCGTTCCGGTCCGTCCTTCACGCCCTACCGAGGTCACCAGTTGCCCCCCACGAGCGGCTCTCCAGTACGGCCATGGCCCCAGAAGCACAAGGACTTAATGCAGAACCCAGCAGCTTGGAGCAGAAAAGTGAATGGACTATGCGTTGATCCAGCCCATCAAGTCTGCCGGAGGGGAAAGGGTGTTGCCCCATTCGCCCTCTCCTCTCTGGAAAGAAAGATGGCGGCCACATGGGAGCCTTGTGGACAGCAGGTATGAGCCGGGAGTGTGGGGGCGACTAAAACCTCATGGGAAGGGGGGCGTTTCGCTCCGCCCTTCACGCCCTACCGAGGCCACCAGTTGCCCCCCACGAGCGGCTCTCCAGCACGGCCACGACTCCAGAACACAGAAACCAATTTCTTAACTATCTGACTTTCAGTAGAAATACTTCCAGGGTCAATAAGTAAAATAGCAGAAATCCAAAACCAACATTTAATTCTTGAACCCAGCTGGAGAAAGCAAATCACTTCACAATGCTTTTTCAGCATGTCTGATTTGGGGGGGGGGGTAAACTCTAAATAATAGTGGTGAATCTTTTATTGAAACAATCTAATCAAAGCGGATAGAGTGTTAACTAGAATTCATCTGCCTCACAGGGACGGGGAGGGGTGGGGGGTGGGGTTTTATTGGGGTTCTTCATGGGAAAAAATAAGTATTGGTAAAGGGAAATGTGTTTGATATTTGCATGACTGAGACATAAACCTGAAAGCTTTGTAACCTTTCCCACAGTGATTCAATAAATAAATAAAAAAAAAAATGTGTCTGTATCCAATGGAGAATAGCGGAGATATAGAGGCATTTTGGTGGTAGGCATAGTGTGGTAACATCAGATCCTTAAAACATATGAACATTTACATTTTTTGCAAACAAGTGTTACCTAATAATTTTTAAAATAAAACAAATTTAAAAGAGAAGGCCCTGTATTTTAAAGACAAAGGCCAACCTGACATCTAGTCAGGTTAAATTCTAAATATAATCAAATAAATGAGTAAGGGTAAAATGATTTACAATTTATCTGAGAATGGTTTTTGAAATTCTGGAAACTATCTTGGTTTTGGAGGCAGAATCTAGGTTGAGTTAAAAAAAAATAGACCAGAGGTCTGGGAATCAGAAAATCTAATACAGGAGGTCATTTGTAAGAAAGAAAAGATAGATTGTAAAGAAGATTGAAGTCAAATAATCAGAAAAGAGAATAGATATATGCTCTCTTCTCATATAAATATCAACATTATTAGGAATAAAATATTGTGGAGGTTTTTTTTTCTTTTTTTGTAACTTGAATGACAGCCCTGGTTCTCAAATTATGGAGAGAGAACACTGGAAAATTCAAAGAAAGGAAAGTGGCACAAATTTCAGTGGGAAAAAAAGATTGTATAACCTCATTGTTTCTAAGGATTGAACATTTTACTTATTGTTTTGGGGACCACACTGGTCAGTTCTCAGGGCTTACTCTTGGCTCTGCATTCAGGAATCCATTCCGGCAGTGCTTGGGGAACCAAATGGTGTGCTGGGGATTGAACCTGGGTGGGCTTCATGAAAGGCAAATACTCTACCCACTATCCTATCACTCTGACCCCAGGAATGGACATTTTAAATACTTATATGGGCTGGAGCGATAGCACAGTGGGTGAGGTGTTTGCCTTGCATGCAGCTGACCTGGGTTCGATTCCTGTCAGGATCTCTCCTGGTAATGAGCCAGAACCCACTACAAACCTAAAGACCTTTTTCCTTTTGGTAAGACAAGAGCCATTAAGTGTTCCAGATTACTTCACCAAAACCAGCAGCCCTTTCTCTTTCTAAGGTTGGATGCCAAGATGCTTAGGACACAGGAAGTGGGTGGGGAAGCCTAGGACCATGTGTCTTTCACCAGTCAAACCATGCAAATCCCTAGCTCTTCACAAGTACTGGCAGCCTACACAGTCTCACCTCACAGGGGCTCTGAATAATAATGACAAACCTCTATTTGGTGGCACTTAGCCAATCTCATGCCAATAAGCAAACTGTGGGACTTTAAGGCATAGGCAATACTTGCAAAGCATGGACAGGCTCACAATAAGCAATGGCAATACACCTGGCCAGTTTTATAACGTCTGGTAGTTTTTAACAGATGAATGCTCAGAGAAAGAGAAAAAGCTATAAAAGTCAGCAACTAAAACTGAGGTAAAGAATAACATTCACTTGTACACAATGCAAAAATAGGCAAAGTGGATGAATATACTTCTTGGCAGCCCTACACTGATACAATCAGCAATTACTCTCACATGCAAATAGGAAACACAATGATCTGAGTGTTTAAAAAGAAAGGTGCAAAAGGGAAGTAGTAGAAAGGCCTACCATTCTGTCTTCTGAGCTTTTCAGTTGTTATCACATTCAACTCTGAGCACCGCCCCTAAGCTTGGTTTCATAATCTGTTTTCTAAATGACAAAACCAGGTTTATAATGCCTAGTTACTAAGCCATGGGGCCAACATTCAAAGCTTTAGGTGACTTGTTCTCTTTATAATTGTCTAACACAAAGAACAGAAAACCTGTAAACATCTGAAAATGTATTTCACACAAATATATGACTTTTCCTGAGCAACTCACTCACAAATGAGAATCTTTTTATGATAAACACCTGAAGCTTTTATCTCTTAAAATGCTTACTCTATTAACCCAGATACTACTATTTATAAGTTTTCTTATAGTTTCAGGCTTCCAGATAGAAATAATGCGAAATGCTTGCCCCCAAATAATTTAGCACTATTCAAAGCCATTTCCTAAGCTTTCTGATATGCATACAACAACATAAACTGAGTATAAAACCAAATAAAAAATTATTCAAAGCACACAACAGAAATTCAATTCCCTATAAAGACTCTTTATTTTATTTAAATCTGGCCCAGAATTAAGTGAGAGCAAAACACTGGTATAGTCTTCTACTGCAAATTCTTCTGCCAACACTAACTGCATTTCTGTTAAAAAAAAGATTTAGTAAAGGTCTAAATATAAAAGGAAAGATAGTACCATGTGAAGGGCACTTGCCTTGTAAGCGGTTGACCTGGGTTCCATCCCCAGCATTCCACTGGATCCCTAAGTACACTACCAGGAGTAATCTCTGAGCACAGAGCCAGGAGTTAGCCCTGAGCATTGCCAGGTGTGGTCCAAAAACAAAGAAGAAGAAAGGAGGCAGAGTAGGAAGAGCAAGAGGAGGAGGAAAAGGAGAAGGACTACGACCACTGCATGTGACAGATAAAGAGTAGACAGAACAAGAGCCTCTAGATTTTCCAGTGCAGCGATATTCCCAGTTCAAAACACAAGTTGCTATTAAATGTAATATAAATTTAACAGTTGAAACTGAGAGCCACCAATGGTACATGCTGATTTCAACTGTTAAATTTTTATTACATTTAATAGCTTCTTTTGCTAACATAAATTTCAGCACCAAATTCAATGTGTGAAGGATTAAATTTTGATGTCATTCTTATTGACTGGGGGAGGGAGAGGGTTATATTTGGCAGTGCTTGGGGTTGTCCCCAGATCAGTTTTGAGGGACCAGGCAGTACCAGGGGGACCATACAGTGCCAAGGATGGAACCCAGAGCTCTCACATGGAAGAATGTGTCCCAACCTTTAGCAAGGCATTCTAAAATGAAACGGCATGCTACTGAAAAACTCTGGAATCAAAATCTCCCCACACAACTCACCACACTGCTACACCAACACCTG